GGATCGATAGTGGATCCCCAGTGACCATTTTTAGCATTAACGACCTAAAAGCAACGTTGGGTAAGGCAAATATCCAACTAAAACCGTCACAAGACGAATTCCTGGATTATAACAACAATCGAATAAACATACTGGGGAAGATAACAGTGATGATGTCATTAAACGGCTGGGCGGCACCAGCACAAGTGTCGGTTATATCCGGGAACCATCAGTCCATCCTGGGGCGGGATCTTATGGGCACCCTGGGTCTCGAGTTAGTTCAACGGAAGAAAGTGATGGGAATCACAGGGGAAGGGATCAGTCAAGAGGAGGAGAAATATGACGAATTGCATACATACTTCTGTAAGTTGTACCCAAATTTGTTTACTAGGATAGGGAAAATCCGGAATGCAAAAGTAAGAGCCGAATTTTTTGACAATTTGAGACCCATACAGCAAAAAGGACGCAGGGTGCCGATTAGTCTGCAAGATAAGGTGGATAAAGAAATCCATCGGCTAATAAATGAAGGGCATATCGTAAAATTACAAGAATGCTCAGATAAGTATTTCGTCTCTCCCATCGTAATTACAGTAAAAAAAGATGGAAGTATAAAAATAGCACTGGAGTCAAGAGAGTTAAACAAGCAGGTACATAAAAATAAGTACCAAATGCCAAATATTGACGAATTAATAGACGGAGTAAGCCAGATAATTGCGGAGAAAAAAGCGGGGAATGTATATTTTACAACATTGGATTTCACATATGCGTATGGACAAGTCGCTTTAGAACAAAAAACGAGCGAACAATGCAATTTCTCGCTTGTTGGGGGGAAATCCACAGGAACTTATCGTTTTAAAAATGGATTTTACGGGTTGACATCAATGCCGGCGGAATTCCAAAAAGTAATTGATAATTTGCTTAAAGAGTTCCCTCAAGCTAACGCGTTCATCGATGATATCTTAATTTCTTCGAAAGGAACGAAGATCGAACACATCGCATTGGTCGAGAAGATATTGAAAAAGCTGGATATTTCTAATGTTGCTTTAAAGTTGCAGAAATGCGAATTTGCGAAAACAGAGTGCGAGTGGCTCGGATTTCGAATTGGGGAAAGTGGTATTACACCCTTAGTAAAGAAAACACAAGCAATTGAAGACCTGAAAACCCCCAAATCACGAAAGCAGTTGAAATCACTGATGGGTTCACTCCACAGTTTACACAAATTTTTACCCAAACTCGCAGAATTAAGTGCACCGCTAAGGCCACTACTAAGCCAAAACAACGATTTTGTTTGGACTAATGTTTGCGAAAATTCATTCCAACATTTAAAATCGCTAGTGAAAAACATTGTCGAGTTACGACATTTCGACATTCACCGGGAGACTAGAATTATTTGTGACGCTAGTCACGATGGTTTGGGGGCCGTATTAGAACAGTATGGGGCCTCAGGGTGGCATCCCATTTCGTTTGCATCGCGTTACCCAAATCCTGCGGAGAAAAAATACTCCACGAACGAATTAGAATTACTTGCGGTAGTGTGGGCTACGGAGCATTTTCGAAATTACATATATGGCCGTTACTTCACAGTTATTTCGGACCATAAGGCCCTGCTAACGTTATTGAATTCATCTCCGAAAGGAAATAAAACGTTTTTCAGCCGACTAACGCGTTGGTACGATCGTTTAGTGCCGTACGATTTTAAAGTTGAACACAGACAGGGGTCTAAAATGGGAATGGCAGATTACTTGTCCCGATTTCCATCTGCAGCGGCACCCGAGACCAGTCGTTACGATGAAAGCTTTGTAGTAGCGAAAATAAAAATGATAAATGAAGCACTAAATCCTAAGGCTCAAATGAAGCCTAGGGGTCAAAACGTGAAATATCTAAAGCCAATACCGGCGGTAGAGGGCGATCAGTCATGCCTTGACATAACGACATTTGTAGCATCCAATGAGAATTCAAGAACAAGTGATTATGCAAATACTCACAGTGAGAGTACACGCTCACTAGAGGGCGTGTTTTCATGCAACCGACGGTTGACCAATCAGATTGAAGAGATTTGCATACCGGCGGAAATATGCAAATATCAAAGAAGAAAATTCAGACATCGTTCTCGCTACGCAATTTCAAGTCGCAAATTACAAGATATGAATAACATGAATAGTAAAAACTCAGTAAATTCACCTGACAAACACGATCAAATTACTTCTGCTATTGTAAATACATCGACAAACTCTGGAGACGTTAATCTAAACCTTGTACTTAATCGTTTAAATCAGCCCCCCAGTCTCAGTTCTGTCAGTTCGGACTCGGATATTGAGTTAATACCGCCCGAAATTATCGATAGAAAACAAGTTAATTCGAAGAAAACCAACACAATTATCTCATTCCCTCATCAATTCCCAGGGTTATCCTACCCATTAGTCCAGAACGATATATGGGTGTACTCCATAATACCGTCGGACAGTAAAGTTGTCCGAAAATTGGAACATCCGGAAATCTTGAGTCTAAAGTTAGTCGAGGCTAATCTGGAGAAGGACCCCATCATGAAGACCATACGTGACGCGATCAAAGAAAGAAACCCAAGAGCCCGAGAAATCATCACTAAACTAGGACCATATTACGCTCAACACTACAATGACTTCGCGGTACGGGACAACTGTTTGTGGATGGACGGCCGATTAGCTATACCCAAGGACATGTCTTCCGCAGTTCTCAACAGACTACACTTTCAACACCATGGTCGGGATAAAATGTTCGCGGCCGCAAAGGATGTGTGGATCCCTTTGATGCATCGAAATATTGCCGCAACGGCAAAGTACTGCAAATGCTGCGTAGAAGCAGGTAAAAATCTAAAACCAGATATCCCAAAAACGACTTGGTTCAATTAGATTTCTGGGGCCCAGTCAATTATGTAAAGGGTAGAAAGAAATATGTACTCGTAGCAGTAGATACTTTTTCGCACTGGCCGTCAGCATATATATGCTCAAGTAATAAATCTAAAAATGTCCTAAAGTTCTTAAGGAAGTACATCAACACTCACGGACACCCAAGGAAGTTGCATATGGATCAGGCAACGGGGTTTTTCTCGAATGAAATTCAGAGTTTCTGTAACTATGAAGGCATTGAACTAATAAAATCTCCGGTTAAGGACCATCGCGCAACGGGAATGGTCGAAAGAACAATTGGGTCGATAAAAAATTACGTGCTCACTTATCTTCAGGAAAATAAAAGTTACAAATTTGGGGAAATGATATCTCGAGCGCTCAGCGCTTTACGTTTTGTGCCACATTCTAAGACTAAATTAACACCCTTTGAAGCATATCATGGAAGAGAAGCAAATACGGCGTTTCGAAACCTAACAAAGACACCATCATTGAAAAATCTAAATTGGAATAAGGTTGTTAATCAGAAGCTATCTTGTTTAGACAAGGCAAGCAATCTCCCTGAGGTGGAGCTGACCCTGGATTGGGAAAAGAGAAGCGACCTAGTATACGCACCTGAGCAACGAAAAACCCCAAGGATTTTGGATGATAATGAGATAACTGACAGGGATCCCAAGGCCACTGAGATGGCTGATAAAGTTTCAAAACAATCAGGAGGAAAAAAACGGCCCAAGGCTAGCTCAACAACAGTCTACCAGAAAACGGGGAAAACAGACCCCAAGGATCCAAGGAGGTATAAACGTTTACCATTGAAAATCGATAAGTTAACTGACCATACTGTGAAAATGGAAAAAGGGGCGTTATTAAGACGAAGTGGTGTTTCTTTTAGAACAGCGGCTGAGGAAAGCCAAATCAAGGATTTCTACGAAGCGTGCACCCCGGGTCCGAGCAAGTACCGGAAATACACCCCGAGTCTACGTGATATCGGAAAGAGCACCCCGGGTCCAAGTGAATCCGCAATAAGCATCCCGGGTCCAAGTGTACCGACGAAACTCAAACGGAAAGCGGAAAAGGATAGACTTGCAATGGGACAGGCGAAAAAGGCGGCAAACCCGAGGATTGTAGAATATAGCGAGGACGAGAGTGAAGAGAATGACATGAGCGATTGGACAGTCGAGGAGGACGATGCGGACAAAACGGCGGCGAGTAAAAACGTAATCGAACCGTCGGATACAGTTGAACCGTCGGATACATTGGCCACGCGAACGCCAAAGACGGTCGAAGGAAGTCGGAAGAAAAACGCAGAGGGGACAAGAAAATCAACGCGACAGCGACGTGGTGTTGATAAGATGGGGGGTGTTATGATTCATCGTATCCAAAACAAGTAACATAACGCAGACCGAAAAGAAAAGAAAACCTAAACGAGAGGTTTGGCAGGTGGGCCTAAAAACTCTAGTTAAACTGTTTGCCGAAAAACTCAAAGAAAACTGACATTGATCTGTAACATGAATTGGCAAGGATAACATTACAAGTTGATAAATTTTATACAAGTTAAAATTTATTTGTGGTTGCCCGAATGAGATAGGGACCAGTTTTAAGTTTATGTAAATGCCATCAATTGTTTTCTTTCTGTCTAGAGACCTGCTCCTTTGACCTTGTGATTTCTAACGTCTGTTCCGATCTGAAATACAACAGCGCAGTAAGATTTCGATTTAATGCTTTACAGTTGGACTAAAAAATACAACTTATTTATTATCTTTTCATATTACAAACATTCGACTTTAATAAATGTTAACCAGTCTTGTCGACATCGGAACTTTTTAGTACTGAACATGCATTTTTCATTGGCTCAACTTTTACGTTAGGACCTTGAAAAAAGATTAAGTACATTATCTTGCACTTTGCATAAAATGACTAGACTGGGCTAAAACACACCTCATCAATACTTCGACATTAAAACAAGAGTACAGAACAAGTTATATTATAAAATTTCTAGTATTTGATGAGCATCACCATATTTTAGCACCAATCAACTTTCAGCAATAAATTTCATTTACCAAATTTAAACCATACTATACAATACTTTGCGTTCGAATAAAGGAGTTGAACTAATTAACAGACTTAGAGAGGAACTTAGTTTCACACTTCTCCGAATCCCGAACTATTGCTATCGTCTGTTTTTGACCCATTAATGTGCAAATACTGTTTCTTTAATTTAGCCACTTGGTAGCAAACCTTCAACGCCAAGTCTTTCTTAACCTCGCACAATTCGACCAAGTTCGAGAAATTGAGTAAGAGAAAACTTTGCCCGTCAATATTTTCTCGTCTGATGAAGGGCAAAAAGTCAGCACATTCTGTCGTGTTTAAATGCAAACACAATTCTTCAGTTGACCATTTGAGAGGATCCGTTTTCTGCAGCGGATTGGCTGCCCTGGTGCATCTCTTGGCCGCCGCCGCCGCCGACTTTTGCTGCATAGTTTGGGGTCGCTTTCTCGGTGACGGTTTCCCTTTCCTTAAAGCCAGTTCACTTGACATTTTTTCTCCTTCACTGGAGATTTGACGCTGAGTTTTTCTTATTTTGCCGTTTTGCTTCTGCGGCGAAACTGGCGCAGGTCGTGTTCGTTTTTTATTTCTCTGAATTGCCCTCCTCGCTTCTTTAACTGCAGGAACCTTATTAGAGCTAGTTGCAGCTGCTTCTTTCTCTCTTGAGTTGCTGCTACTGTTGTGACTTTGGATCGAACAAGTTTTCTCCGAGGAACCTAGGATTATGCTCAAGGATTATTCCATCTAGTCAATTTACAAAAGAACCCAGAGCAACATATGGTCATATTAACAAAATAATGAAGGATCTCTTAAACTACCCCCACCCCCCAGTAGCAAAAGTGGGAACTTGTTACTTGTAACAAAAGTTGCAAATGCTTAACCGTTGAATTAGTTCTTTAGAGTGGTGGACATTCTTAACTAGGCACCACAGGACTTCAGAGGAGACGCTAACGATAATCAAAATAAACTTAAATCTAAGAGGTATCTATTAGAATCAATTATACTTCTTAAATCCAAAAATATAAGATCTATCTGCAGTGTTTGCGACAGCGCTTATTTACATTTCAAATTTTTTTTTTTTCAACTTTCCCATCTTTAACAACGAATCATATACATATCATGTCTAGGAGCTTTCAAAAATCTCACTAAGTTCATTGCGGCAAAATGCGAAAAAAAAGTTCAAATGAAAACTTAACTCACTTTCGTCAACAGGTGAAATAGGTCTAAATTCTGTTTCCAATCCCGATGACAATTTCGCCAAGGATTCGCCACTTTTAGATATAGTCGAAGTCGAAGCAATTTCATGTACTGCAAAATCCTCCATGTCAATTTCACTTTTGGCAATCATATTCACAGTTGAAAACACGCTTTTGTGTCGCTTGCTCTTTTCGCGTTCCGGTGGGTTCGTTGTGCCAATTGCAGTCACTGACGCGCCTTTTTTTAACTTGACGAAGCCCCGTTTGGGTTCGACAGTGATAAACTTTCCGAAGTCAGTCGTGTCAATCGGCGACTCAGAGTGCGGCGTGACAGGCCGTGAACCGGACACACTACTGTCAGATTGAGACTTCTCTTCAATTTTATTAATGGGAATATTTTTACTATTAACTGGTTTATTGACACCTCGTTTTGGCGAATTTGAAACCAGTTTTGAATTAACGTTGTTGTTGTTACTTGTATTATTTGTTCGCTTTTGACTCGAAAAAAGCATCTTTTTCTTTCTTTTTCTCTTATTTTGGTGCACTTTAACTCTTGATTTGTTCAGATAAGCATTAGTCAGACAGTCCGATTCCTTATAGTCCGTTAGCTCCTGGGCCGTCAACGTGTGGTAGTTCGCCAGACATTCCGAGTCATCGCAAACTCTTTTTGGGCAAAACTGAATGGTGAACAAATTTTCACAGCACCCAAATTTTCTCAGCACCGTTTGAAGGAAATGTTCCATATCGGAAAACAGCTCGGGAATCTTGACAAAAGCATGAAGATTTTTTGTTTTGAACTTTGCTTTTATGTACGCCTGGCTAGTCATTACACTGTCGTAATGCGAACAAATTCCGATTATTTCTCGCAAAACTTGAAATGGTTTAACCGAACACATTATCAGCGAGTTCAAAAGTGTTCGTAGAACGTAAATAGTTAAACCTGGCCCGTACTTTTGACTCAAACATGATAACCGATATCGACTAAAAATTGGATCCTTGCAGCATTTGAAGTTCACATATACAACCGGACACCAGAACTTATTTGTATAATTAGAGTGATGAAGTTTCATTTGCTGCTCTGAAGGTTCTTCTGAAAAACATTTGCGGTCTTCTGTGACAATTCTTTTCAAAATTTTGAGGTCGGAAAACTTAATTCTTGAAATCTTAGAGCTCTTTTCGTCATCGTTTAGAGGACAACCGTTTTGATTCGGCATTAGAAAATGTGCACTGCCGACACTTTTAGACCACATTGCTGGAAAAACTGAAAACCCTTCCGCATCTAAGAAAACCCTCGCAGGCTTTTCCTTTTCTTCATCAATAAACCATCCGTCAATTTCAACTTGTAAAACCCTCCCAGCTACTTTAACTATAGTACCCGGACTCAAGTACCTCGGGCAATACGGGTTAATAAATTCGATCTTGTGGCCGACTTTGAATGTCGTTTTTTCGGGTAACATATGATTATTATTTTGTGTTGATGCGTCCGATTTGACCGATCTTAGCATATTTTTCGGGAAGCAGCGCTTTCCCTTTTGCATGAGGTAGTCGTGCCAAACGAACTTGGACTGAGAATCCTCATTTGGGTTTTTGTTGATTTTTGTTGGATTGTAATTTAAAGGCCAGGTAAGGTCAACTCCATTTTGTTCACTCCAAAGAGCAGGTCTGAGATTGAAAGAGTCTAGAGAGAAGGATTCACTTAGCTCACTTTCATCTACTGATGCACTGCTGCAGTTGTCCAAGGTGACCTAAACAGATTTTCATTGTTGGATAAATTGAGGGCAATCTTTTACCTTCAAACACTGCCAGCAAACAGTTCAAAGTGAAACTTTCGAAATTGTAAAAAAAAATGCAATTTCAAAAATCTTTTATCATAAACACTTTTTTCATAGAATTAACCCAAATTGAGACAAGGATGGCCGGTTACTGTGCAAATAGATAGCATAGAATGCTCCGACCATAGTCTAAAAAAGCAAAAAACAATTTTTTTTTAATTAGTAAGGTTTTTTCTGCGTGGTGTGATAAAAAATCTGAACGAAAAACTAAAACTGAGACAAATCCAAAAGTCACAGTAAAATAAGCAAATTGAGCAACAGTTGTTGAAAAAAATGACCCCAAAAAATATTTTTTCAAATTTTTTGGCAGAACTTTTTTGAATTTTTGATTCCCAAAATGACGGCAAAATAATTTAACCTGCGTAAAACTAAGTTTTTACGCCTGAAATTAAGCATAAATAAGATACTGTAAGCCTGCTCGCTCGCTTAACTCGCTCGAAATTAGACAAAAAATCGACACTGGGAAAAATAAGACTCGCTTTTTGAAAAATTCTCAATTTTCGAATTTCAAAGAAAAAATGGATGGCCTTTAAGCTATCTGAATTTCTAGAAAAAATTATAATTGACACTTGTTTTGATAAACTAACCCAATTTGAGAAAACTAAATAAATCGGTAAATTTTCATTCCATTGAGAAATCTGAAAATTAAAATCAACTTTCGAAACTACAAGTCAGTCGATCACGCTTTTTGTAAAATTTTCTTTTGCTATTCGATAGTTTTCCTGCCTTTTAACAAAGGGAATGAACTGAGCTTCACAAGAAATCAAAAGTGAAACCGGAAAATCAAATTTGAGCCTGAAGAAACTTTCAGGCTTCTCCGGAAACACAAAGTATCACGACTTAAGCAAGAATATTTACTAGGTTCATTGACTCTTAAAAAACAATTACATTAAAACCGATCAGCGTAAATGGCAATACCGACCGACAAGTAGCTAGCCAGCGGGTATTGAAACAATGGTAAAGAGCTCTTATACGAGAAAAGTGCTTAGAGTTTTCAACTTTCAGAAGTATAACGCATTGACAAGTGGAAAAGTTAACCAAAAACAAAATTTTATTGCACCAGTGGCGATGGAAATTGCTCCTCAAAAAAAAGGAATTAGAATATTGCCCTATTAAACTGAAGGACTAACCGTCACTGTATTTTCGTTGTCCACTCTTGTGACAGTTGCAACACAAATCAAGTGTGGGCATTTTGTAAAAATCACTTCCAACTTCGAGTTCTCAAATTCCTGCAAATCGAGCAGTTTTCTCGAGAAACCCTCATGATGGTTTCGTGAAAGATCCATCGATTGAGATTGGTTGAAAAATCGATTCGGCATTCTCACTTTAATCTGCTCATGCTTTAGCCATCCACTTTTGTAAGTCTTCACAACTTGTTCTTGACCAGAAACGAATTCGGATAGTAAGTTAGGGGGCTCCATAATAGTATCGTAGCTTTTCATTGCATATCCAACGGGTCGAAGTTTCTCCGAGGCGAAAAACAACAGAAAGTCGTGCTTTTTCACACTGTCGGGAACACCTTCAAATCTTAGCAACAACAACCCACTATGATTGGTCACGACTTTGACGAGCCATACTTTTTTCGGTTCGTATTCAAACTCGAATCTTGCTTCGTTTGGAATCCTAAACTCAATCGGCCAAAATAATCGATCTTCTATTGCCTGTTCTGAAACGGAAACTCTACCGACGAGGAAATTCCTTAAAAATAGTTTAACTTTCCTTGTCAACATTTCAGGATTGAACTCTACTTCAAAAGTATTTGGAGATATTTTGTGATCTTCTAAAGTGTCTTTTTCGGCTTTGAGCTGCAATGAAGATATCGGTTTGAATATTCCGTTTTTGCCAGCATGTTTATCATCTGCTTCGTGGATCAAATGCAACATTTGAAATGGGAAGTTCTTGGGGGGTTCCAACTTCCTATTATTCTTCTGACACCACCCGATGGAGTGAATGTCTGTTGTTTGTATGTCTATCCATGCATCGTCCAGGGGGTCAGACAGTCCTGCGTATCTGACGAGGATGTTGTTCCGGTTGGAGTAGACCACAGATGCCACCCACCAGGAATCCATACTCTGAAAAGAAAACTTCCTTGAAGCCACAAATGAAAGATGGATGCCAGTTTGGCTCTTCTGCTTCCAGCCTGCAATTTTTACCAAATAAAAATAACATTACCATACCATCGGCCGAATGTTTTGTATTTTGGCGAGCATGTTGATTAACCAATTCTAAACTTAATTGGTATTGATATAAAATAAATGTTTCACGCACAAAGCTTCCATTTGTTGGTGGGGGAGGGTTAAAATACACTGCCGATTTTTACCAAACGGGAGCTCTTTAACGGTCCCGCCCTTCACATGGTCCAAAACACAGTTTATGGTTTAATTGGTGGTTTCAAAAGAGTACAAAAAATTCTAATTTGGAATTGTGTAATGCTTTCTTAATTGTCAAGTTCACAAAAACTGAAAAAAGTTTTAGAGCTTCAGAAAGTTCAAACTTACAACGAGGAGAAACAAAAATGCACCCTCCCTCTTTGCGAAATAAGCATTTAATTGTGCAAACTCACCTCTCCGCTCGGGACTTCTATCACGACGCCTTCAGGAAGCTCCTCCGAGTGAATCGTCCTCACAGTCGCGAAGCAGGACATCGGCGCCATCTCATTGGCCGATACACATTCACTCGAATATCTCGACCAATCAAAATCCACCGGTAGTTTCAGGCGTTCTATTTGACTTTCAACGTCCAATTTAAGCAACAACTCGTCGCAAGACTTGAAGGCACAAGTCATTTTAGTGACTTCTGATTTGGGAGAACAATTGTTGTCGCTGTTTATGCTTGGGAAATGGAGAGCGCGTATTTCTCCATCGGAAGTTTCTAGAAAATGAAATTCAGAAATAAAATTCATTTCAATCTCAAAAATCCCACGTGAAATTTAAGTTTCTCGTGAAAAAAACTAAAATCGCAAGCCAATCGTGTTGCCATAATGAAGAAAATGAAATGTCGAAACGCACTTTTTTCGGGCAAATTGATGTAAAATGGTGGCCGATCAAATGACGGCAAATAAGCATCAGACTTATAAATACATACCAAGTTTGAGCTCAAACGTCTAACAATACAAGACTGCGATAGTATAACAACTCATCTACTAAATTCAGAATTTGTGACTTATATACTTTACTAGAGCAATGATTCAGATAGAAATTTTAATCAAAGAAACAAATCTTCGATAAAGTATTTTCAATTCCACATTATTATCAAGCGAATAGCTCCCGAAAACAAAATGTATGTTGTGTTTGATCCAGTTCCGCAGACACGGAGTTGACTGTTCCGACTTTTTAGATTTAATGAAAAAACAAACTGAGAGAAAAAGGTAGCGTTACAACAAAGATAACATCGCGAACTAATTGATGATAAACGTAATCGAAATCATTTCCCACTTAATGCGTCGTTTCGGGCGCCACTACTAGAGGTCGCAGTTTTAAACCACTTTACCGAGACTAATCTTCACTTAAAAAGGTGTCCTTTTTGATCTCTTATTTGGGCATAAACGTAGTGGTATGAAAATAAGCGAGTTTAAAAAAAGAAATGACAAAATAGACAAACGCTGACATGTCTTAGAATGAACAATAGGAGCTTAAAATATCTGCCATTTGTCTGAACTGACCTTTAACCGACGCAGGCAGAGCTCGTTTCCCCTGCGAACTACTCGAAGTCGCATTTCTAACCGCATCCAGAATTTCCTTCTGATTAAACTCTTTCCAACAACCACTTGAACTATCTCTTGGCAATGACCCTCGTTTCAAACTATCGGCCAATTTCGTAACCCCCGCCGGAGATAATTGCGATTTCTGGACTTTTGGGTTCTGGGCAGCTGGATTCACTATTGTTTTGCATGTGGGTCGTATCAATGGAGGCGGAGGAGGGGGCGGGGCGACTGGCGTTCTCGCGGTGAAGTTTGACCCATTTGTCGGGGTTCCCGGGGTTAAATGAGTTGAGACGGTTGAATGGTACTCACTCAGAGCTGATTCAGCGTCGTTGTTACCTACAAAAAAGAATTTATATTTTTCAGTGAGAAGAAACTGATTTAGAAAAAAAGCAAAAATTAAAATGTTTCAGTGATTTCCGCAAACAATCTACGCTAACAATAAATAATTTCATTGAATTTGAATTACGTTTTAAATTGAGTCTTCTGACCTAACATGATACCAAGTCTGTTTACATTCAAGTACTCTTGTTTCCATTTTTTACAAAAAAAATCAGCTCAGCTTGACAAAAAAGCATCTCTTTTTTTTCCACTTATACGTTCCTAAATTAAGGACTTGATTATACAAAACATAGCCAACCTTAAAGTCTAGGGTCGAGTTTCAGCCGGACCTTGTTTTTGTATGCAATTGAGTTTTTTTCGTTACAAATTAAATTGTCGGATTTTCGTTAATGTGCTCAAGTTTTGTCGGCTAAGTTCCCACGTTTCGGTGTTTGTTTGTATTGTCAGCAACTTTCTTTGCAGTTGAAAGTGCAAATTTTTCAGGGAGGGACTTGAAAGATTTAAATGAAATAAATTTTTTTTTCGGTTCAACTGGTGTCTGCTCAAAGATTGCCGGCTTATTGGCCACATCACTGATTTTTCTAAAGCTGTAAGCAACTCTCATTGTAGTTGCAAGTACTGGTTTGTTCATTGTAGTGTCAATGGGGACCTAAAACTTAATATTTTTATAAAATCATTTTTTTTTTCGGCTCAACTTACGTCTGCTCAAGATTGTCGATTTTTTCCTCATCGTAAGTTTTGTTCCGTTGCTAAATTATTATTCAATTGTCTGACATGTTTGCCTAGATTGAAATTTTATAGAGACATACGAAAACTTAAATGTTGGTTTCTTTTTAATTATTTTTGAAATTTCTCATTTTTCAACGACTTATGTTTTTTATGTTTGTTGCATCGCAACTTCAAACTTCAACTTTCAAAGAAACGAATATATGGCCTTGTGGCTCTTCGAATTTCATTTTCTAACTTTCAAAATTCGATTTATCTTTTTTCGATAAATTTAGAGCAATTTGAGAAAACTTGATCAGCAAGAAAATTTTTTATTCGCTGGGAAATCGGAAAAACAGAACCTACTATAAACAATAGAACTCGATCACGTTTTTTGTGATCTTTTCAGTTTTGCTGTTTAAAAGTTGAATTTGCACTCTTTTGAACAAGGGAAAATAATTGAATTTAAAAAGAAATCAAACGTCAAACCACGCAAAACCAAAACTAAGCCAGACTTTTCTTGAAAAAAAAACATCACAACCTATATAAAAGTCTTCACTACGTTCATCGACTCTTAACCTTTGAGATCGGGAAAAAATTGACCATCGTTGAAACAAAAATTCTGAATCATTGAGTTCTAAACATAAAGCCACGACTAAAACAGCGGCCATGGTTATCTAGGTTATTGTTATATTGTTCAATTTTTCGAAGTGACGAAATATTTCTTTTTTTGTGTGTGTTTTCTTCGGATTATTATCTAGCAGTTATAGCATAACTTTTCTATGCCATCTGAGAAGTATCGACTTAACTGAAAATTGAAAGTTAGCTAAATTGAGATAAAAAAAATTGTGATATAATTGTGCTATTACTACGTAAACAACTTTTTAATATGGCTCAAAAAACATTCCAAATTGATTGAGGTAAATTTGGTCTTATTGAAGCGTTTATAGACGCTAAGTACATCACTTTGTTATTAACACAACCTGTGTGCAACGATATATAAACTACTGAAAAATTTCCTAACTTTTTTGAATCAAAAATTATTTCACAGACACTTAAATGCAGTCACAAAATTCAGTCTTTCGCTTGTGTAGACAAACAATGTGAAACAAAAGATTCTCGCCAGGCTCTACGAATACCCTATTAGTATTCAAGTCGGAATGAATTTTCTGATTGCTCATTTTTCATTACTTTTTAGCTTGATTCAATTTAATTTGTGATGACAAACTTTGAATCCCCATAACGTTACTGGAAAACTTTACCTTTCTGAAATCTAGGAAATTAGATCTTTTATATGTATAATATAGTCAACAAACAGTTTGAAAAGAGTCAACGAACACAAGTAAACCGCAATACTGACTTCTTTTTTTTGAAAAATTTCAGCTTTCGAATTTCAAAGACAAAAATAGAAGGCCTTAAGCTTTTTGAAGTTCATCGACTCTTAAAAAGTATTATTTCGATCTATTAAGATGGCTGAAGAAAAATATCAAACTGCGCATAAACACCTCTCTCATTTCCTCAAAATTTAAACTAAACTAATTAAAATTTTTTGGTCAGCTAAAAAAAATAGCCCACAAAGTTTCAATGAACTCAAGAAAATCGAAAAAACATCCTTGCATTTTTGATCAGTTTCGGAATTACGGGAAAAAAATCACAATGAAACTCTTTGAATCTTTTATGATAAACCCTTGTTCATCAAACTAAACTAATTGGGGAAAACGTGATTATTATCATGTTTTCGAGCTCCACTTTATTTTTGTAATTGATGAGCGTAATTATGAAACGAATTTGAAAGGAACTTAACAAAAAAATCAGAAGTCAAAGCGCGAGAAATCAAACTCAAACTTGAGCGTGAAAAACTTCCAAGACTTCTTCGTAAAAAAACTAATACGACCTATGTAAGTGTCTTCACTCGTTCACTGACATTTAAATAATTCAATTAGAATTGATTGAAATAACAGATGCTATGCTGTAACTAGCAAAATCCAAACTAAAGCCAGTATCATTGGTTTAATACCAAATGAACTATACAATCCATATTAGTGTCTAATTGTATCAAATAGAATTGATTTTAACGAGCAAGTCACTTTTACTAAAATTGTGGAAAGCGAAAATAAACATTTAGAGACGACATAATTTATCTGCATCTAAATAAAATATTCTTTTTGAACTCTAATAGATGATTTTTCTGCCCATACGTTTTGGTTTTTACGGACTATATTCTATCTACACGGGGCGTGTGCAAATGCTTGTTCCGCTTCGCTTTGCTTAGACTCGGGACGAATATTATAATGCGCGTAGTGTGTTATCCTTTTATAGTGGCAGTATATTGAAGTTGTGACACCAGCGCAGAATGAAACAAATCTTAAAAAAACAGGCAGAAAAGAATGAATCGAACCTAGATACGGCAAAAAATTAAAGACGGAAAGTAATTGTTTATATCTAGCGGCAGGTTTTTCCGTTTTGCTTAGAGATCATCTAAAACAGAGATCATCATGTTACAGAAAAATGATAACTTGAGACGTAAAATTAGGTAGACAATTTTTCATAATTATTTTGCAATAATATCTTTTTGCAGTTTATATTTTTGTTGAGCGTGGCAACGGTTCCTAGAAACTATTTTAACCCTACCTTTGCTAATATCCGAATTTCATTATCATAAGCCGAAAAAATCTCCTAACTTTTAATTCTCTAGAATCATTCCCACGGCTTTTCTTTAATTTTTCGAAGTTGATTAGTTAATGGCTCTCTATTTACTCCTACAAAAAATCAATGAAGTTTCAGACTTACTTTCGTAGAAGTCAATTTAATTAATTCGCTTGATAATAAACGCGGGGCTAAAGTCACAGTGCTAAATAAAGCGGGGGCCCAAATATTAATGAATATTTCCGCAATCATCAGATCGGTTCGGTCACTAATGATTATCTAGTTTAATTGGAGGGTTTTAAAAACATAATTTCATGTCAGCTTATGACGAAAAGCAGGAAATCAAAACAATTTTTTATAATTACTGTTAATAACGCCAAAAAATTTTCAGTTCAAAACATCAGCCAATATAAATAATCAAGGGTTAAATCTTAAAAATGTAGAAATTTTTTCTACAAATTTAATTAAAACTCAAAATTTCATTTTAAAAAATATTCGATCGCATATTATTCTTTCTATATGGACATTCATTTAGTAAGTTTCAACATCTTGTAACTATTCCTCTTAAATTTTCACACGTTGAATTTTCAGGAAGGATTCATATGTTGGAATTGAGATAGTCATTAAAAGACAGTTATTAAGATAGTTATAGGATAGTTATTTTAAGAACAAAAAAAATTCTTTCCTATCCATATCCATAACCGAAAATTATTCTATCATCCAATCAGAATGCATTACTCAAAAATTCGACTGGAATAAGAGTTAAAATAGTCCATTTGGAGTTCAGATAACATTGATAATGATGCCTTCGTGAAAACATAGCTTACCATCATATGTATTGTCTCCTTGCTTAGTTTGTATCACGTTAACTTTTGGGGCGGGACTCCTCTGCTGAGGGTTCAGGAATCGAGGAGTCGAAATCGAAGTTGTGCTATATACCATTGAACTTGGAATCAATACTGGTGGTGACTGGATCATTTGGTTCCCAGAAGTATGGGAGCTACTCGAAGCCGTCTGGTAAACAGAACTGGACAAGGAAGCTGCAAACTTCTGTTGCTGAGGATTGAGTTGATTGCCGAATACTGGTTTGGGTTTCGGGGCCAGGGGTCTTACGCCACTTACCACAACTGGATTGAAGAACCGATTTTGAGAAGAACCAGGTCCAGTGATTGATTCGTTGCCTTAACATTGCATGATGTTCTCAACAACAAGAATATATATTTTACAATTATGATACCTTAAAAAAAACTAACTTCTGCGACACAGTTTGTTAGTATTTATATCAACATTTTTTTTTAAATTTCGAGCTCCATATCATTTTCGGCTCAGTACAATAGCGAAAAAGTACTGAATAAAAGGAACTAACCTTTAGCAGTTATATGATTCGGACTGACATTAACGGTTGGTGCCGGAATTCTTTGATTTTGATGAGGAGAAAATCTGTTGTTTTGAACACCTGGTCTTGCTAGTTGGGGTGCCATTGATTGCACGACAGGTGTTGCAACCACTTGGAAGCCTCCTTGCAAACTCTTACTAGATTGTGCCTGATTTACAAAATTGACTTGATTCGCGGGTCTAACTAACCCGCTTGGAGAAGATTTAGGAACAAAAGTGAAATTTCCATCTTGGATACTCTTTGCTTGACTGGTAATGGCAGCAATTTGTTGATTTGATATCATCGGCTGAAAAGACGCGGTTCTCATAAGTTGCACTTGTTGGGGCCTGCTCATATTCTGCCCAGAAGAAAAGACAGGTCTGGGTTGGTTGAAAGGGGCTCTAAACTGGATTTGAGTTTGAGGCGAGGAGGTGACATGAGCAGGAATCGATCTGCCGACCATCTGGGATGTCTGGGGCATTCGAACGTGATGGCTTCTGGGCACTATTTGGGCGAAGTTGGAAAATGTTTTCATTTGGGGTCGGGTTTGAGACGATCCAGCGGGTTGCTGCACGTGAACGAGCGAAAACTCTGGCGAATTCTTGAAAGCAACTCGAGTTTGCTTCACCGGTTCTTGTTTTCTAATCGGGGTCATGAAGGGATTGTTATGTCGCGGCATCGCCTCTTCAGGAATTGCGGAACTCTGAGTCAATGAAGAGCTGGTTCCTTGCATGAATCCACATTGCTGATTTGCTCCTACTCCAATTGAGTGATTGTTTTGTTTGGACACCATAGCATTGCCGTTTGAAACGTGCGGATTCGTGACAAAACGCGAGGGAGCTCTCGGAGTCGGGACCAATAGACGGTGCCCAGGAGCTGTATTAAGGGTTCCAGGAGCAGTAGGTCGAAGGAGGTTAGGAGGTTGGCTAGTTCGAGCAATTGAGGGTCTCGGAAATAATGGAGTAACTCCAGCTATGCTGTAGGGGTTGAAGTTCGCAGTTGATCGCTGAGGATTTTGTCCAATAATTCCTGGATTGATTCTGGGCATCAACTGATTGGGATGCTGATTTTGACCTGCTTGCTGGACTAACATTTGGTTAAATTGCTGCTGGGATTGTTGGGATCCGATATTCATGCCTTGTGGAAACTTTCCTTGTTGCGCCGTTGGTATTTTCAATTGCAACTGAACATTTAGGTTTTTGTTCACATTCGGGACGGGCTGACTAATACAAGTAATCAAAGGTGGGGGCGGGATTTGTCTCCTTACTTTGGGCTGAGGAGCTGGCGGTATGTAAGGTTCAATTTGAGGTCCCTTTCTTTTTAAAGCAGTCGCCGATACTAATGGTATGTTTCGCTTGTTTTCTATCGATTGCTGATCGTTACAGCGATTAACTGAAAAATCTTGAGGCTCATTCGCTACAGTTGAAATTTTAGTTTCGTCTTTTGAAAAATTCGAAGCTTCTGCAAAATCGACATGTTCCGACGTTTCGTCTCTCGGAAACGAAAGATCCAAAATAGACGAGGGGTTGTCACTCATTGTATTTTCGTATTGTAAACAAAAGCTTTCGCTAAGTAAACATGAGCAGAGCTAACTAAATTAACTTTTAGATTTGCGATCTTTAGTTGATTAATTGCCGAGCATTGCTAAGCAATACGGTGAATTTTGAAGTAATCAGTCAATTTGAAAGTATAATTGTATTGCGGGAATAGAATTTCGTAAGGAAGGCACAAATTGCCGCTCTTTTTTTCCATCCATTATTGATGATGCGCCTGAAACGATTCAAAGGTCAATAAAAAGATCAATTCAAGTGAACAAATACTAACTTCCACTGAACTGATTCTTTTTCAGTATTAATAACATGCATTGTAAAATTCAGTTATATAACCCGATTGGTGGTAGTTATTCTAAATACCAGTTATACCAGTCCCAGTTCATAAATCAGAAATTTGAATGATACGCTCAAAAAATTTTAAGTAATCATAGATTGTAAAGTTAAATAGCAAGATGCTCAAAGAAATCTCGCTCTTAAAAAAATCATAGGTCTCTGATATTTCGATTAAGCAGCAATTTGATAAGGAAATAGAATAAACAGGATCAAACATTTCTTAATGCTTCTTAATTTGGCGCGGGCCCGATTGAAACTAAACGATCTCATATCAAAACAAGGATAGCCGTTGGCTGAACAAGTAGCACAGAACGTTCCGACCATATTCATAAAAAATCACAAAAATGTTTTAGTGCTAGGTGCGATTTGGCAACTATACAAACGCGTAGAAACTTAGTGAATTAGACATAATCGACAACAATTGTCTTAAGAAAAGAATAACAAAAAAACTGAAATTTGAAAAAAGATTTATATTTTCCAGCTTTTTTTTCACAATTTGAATTTTTTTGGAAAAAATTTATTGCCTAGAAAGCACAAACTTATATACCCGAAACTAGTTTTCTTTATAGCGAAATTGAGTTTCTTCATGCTAAAAGTCTACTAAATGAAACTTTAAAAAAAATTTAAATGTTCGAATCACGACTGAAAAGGCTTAAATTTTGTATATCACTTGTACCTGATTTTACGTGGAAAAAAGAAAAAACTAAAACACCTAAATACAAAGTTTCTCCGTCGGAGCAAAAAAAAAAGCCAGAAAAGCAAAACGAGGTTTTTGAAACAAGAACAATTGGTTGCTGTGCAATTAACATAGATTGAAATCAATGTATTATACAGAATATTTAAAACAGTAATATCAGTTTATACAAAATACGTACAGAGAAGTTCCGACCAGTAATCTTCACAACGAACAAATGCTTACAAAATGAACAAAAAACTTCAAAACGGAAGTCCTTCGAATTTTTTGAACTAATTGGCAGGTGCACTAAGAGAAGCTTCCACAACTAATTACAAAACAATTTTTAGACTTAAAATCAAAAAATGTTTAAAACAATTTCTTGAATTTAAAACCAAAATAATAAACTCATCAATTAAGTGAACAGTTCTTCTTTGCACTAAAATTATCTATCAGCCAAAATTTCTAAAATGTATCGATATAGCATAACTGAAAAGTCTTTATTATGATATATTACTAGACCCATCTGACATTTATTTGTGGAACAAGTTTCTGCGTATAAAAAACACCTAAAATCTGCAGGGAAAAACACCCGAAGCCATAGAAGTCACCCGTTCACAATTCGTGGTCGGAAAGATAGAATTAGCTGTTTGGTAAGCAAGTATCATATTCTTACAATGTTCCAACTACAATTAAAAAAGCGCAAATTTCTACAAAAAAATGAGGGCGAAAAAATTGACTCGTGGATTATGCTCTAAAAAGTTTTGATGAAGCATTTGTAAGCTTTCACGCTATTGGAGAACTCGGTAAGAAAAATTTGCCTTGGCTTTGAAAATCGATTTATTTTAAAATTTTGGCCAGTATTTTACTAACCCAGGACAAACATTCTAACTATCCACTATAAAAAATCAGCAATGTGTTTCAAAATTCCACTTTTCGACAGAAACAGTAAATCTCAATGTCGTAATAAATTTACTTAAATATATTTCATCGTTTAAACAACTGTTTTAAAATGTTTCACATCTCATGAACATCTCTTTTCTCTTTTTTTTTTAACTCCGTTTATTCGAAAAAAAAACTCACGCCAATTGACAACGTAGTAGATGGCGAAAAATGGCAATTTTGAACCCGCAATGAACTTGTTAGTTCTCGAAATGAAAACTTTCTTGAAAATTTCAGAGGAGGAAGCTCTGATCAATTGCCCTTAATCCATATAAAAGTTTTGTTCATATTCAAGCGTTTTGCGAAGTAACTATGCAAATAAATGTCTTTAATTTGCATTTAGTTTTTCCCGCAAACGTAACTAAAACAGGTGAAAGAATGAACTAAACAAATTCTGAAACGAAAAGCCAATCACGTTTTTCCAATCGATTTGCACATTTGTAATTACAAAAAGTATTTGGATAACAGACATTTCAGGTATTCACATTTTGAATTTGAGTTGAAAATTGTCCACTATTGTATCAGAGCTAAAAATCAGTTTGAAGACCATACCACTTTTTCACGAGTCTGAAAAATCCAATTTTCGCCAAATAAGTAAGCTTTTTCTAAGTTATGAATTTTTGAGAACATCCGAGCTTAGTAAAAATTTCACCTTAAATAAATCAAACTTTTTTGAAAGAACAAAGTTTTTTACCTTGATGATTCGAGAAAAACTAATTACGCTGGAAAAATTACTGCTTATGGTAAATACTGGCATTTACATTTGGTAAGTTATTGAAAATTTGCTCCCGTTCGATATGAAATATTTGTTTATCTTTAAATAAATGTTGGCTAAATTGATCTTTGAAAACAGGTAATTATAAATTAAAATTCCGAAAATTTGCGACTGAGCACTCCTTGTGAAAAAGAGATTGAATGATAGCAAAACACAATCAACCCATCAGAATCGATGTCCGAACATTTAATTACTTGAAAAAAGCTAATAAATTCAAGCTAATAGCAATTTAACTCGATTGCCATCGAACGAAAAATTAAAAACTTGGCAGAGAATGCAATAGAGTTGAACGTGTTGCCAGTTTTGAAGCACCAACTGTTTAAAAAACTCCTGGCGGCTGATGGTGAAAAGCTCCGATGCAGGCAAGGATGGCCTTCGCCCGCATCGCAGCTTTCCACCATTAGGGTCCAGGAGATTTCGTAAACAGTTTGTGCTTCAATTTTGGCAATTTCGTACATGTTCAACTCTATTGCATTCTCAGTCAATTTTTCACTCGGTGACTAGTTAAATAAAAAATGCCTTGAACTTATAAGCTTTATTGAAGGGTTTCAATTTCTCTCGAATGTTTGGATATCGATTCTGATTGGCTGATTGTGTTTTGCTATCATTTCGCAAATTTTCAGAATCAAATTTTCAGTGTTCAGTTGCAAATTTTCAGAATTTTTCAGAAAGCCAGTTTAGTGGTAGTTCATTTTTATTGACCTCTGTTTATGTTTTCATCACTTTTCTGCAATTTCTGTACTTTTCTAAATCAATCAGCAATTAGACTGAGCGAAACTGATCACGCATCATCTAGAATTTCGCCTGAATCTTTCCTCAAAAAATGTTGAAGAATGCTGCGTGAAATCAAACAATATAACGAGTTTTAAGAAAATTTGACAATAATTCAGTAGCAAAACTTACATTGAGTTGAGTTTCCTTTGAATGCTTGAAAAAAATAGCCTCAAACTAACCATGGAAATACAAACTTGATCCAAAGAAAGAATATATATAAATACGGCTTATCCTTCAGTTTTATTAAGTTAATTGAGCGGTTTTTCCAGACCTATGACTTACACAAGGTACTAAAGTAGAAAATCAATGAAATGAATCAGGTAAATTATTTACTTAGTTTCGCTCAAGTTTTTTAAAAAAATAATTAACAGGTAAATTATTACATTCTGTTGGTATCTTTCAGAGCAAGCCAACAGATTTGGCAGTCCCAAAAAACACATTGAAAAAGTTTTTGGCTTTTGTCGCTCATTATGAAAATAAGTTGCGATGTTCGACGTTTCTGGTTGGAGAAAGTGTTCAACTATTAGCTCCTTCAATCATGGGAAGAGACCTCGTTTTTTAACAAATAAATTACCGCACTTATAAAAAAAAATTGTGGATGAATCGTCTTAAACGAAAAAAAACTAGCGCTGATTGAGACTATACGAGAAAAAATTAATTCAACTAAAAATTTTTACTCAAAAAATCACTATGAAACAAACCTTGTGATAATAAAATTTTTCCATTCCTTGTGTGATAATAACACGAATGAGCACATTTTTTGAGTGATTCAATTAAAACAGACAGAAACTTTGAGCCCCTTATATTAAAGGAAAAAATGTCGTACATTTTTGATACGGAATATACCAGTAAGCACTAGAAGTTTCCAATTGGTTTTGTGATAGTTGCAACTTTATATCATATTTTCTTAGGCGGCTTAAAAAATTTTGCAAAAAGTGTTATAGATTTTTCAATTAGAGCTTTAAAAGTGAGTTTTTGTAAATATTTTGGGGAATTTTTGAAATTTTTTCTGAAAATAATTATCTTATGTACATCACAATCTCTAACTTGTGAAAAAAACTAACAGAAAGCTTTCCAACTTATTTTGCTTTTTGAAGAACTTCTATCTTTATTTGTTTTAATTTCTCTAGTTTCGGTCAGTAGCAGATTTAAGTGGGGAGACAGCCCCTCCTCAGAGATTTTACCCCCTGCCGACCCAAATGATCCCCCTTTGTACTATTTTGAGATATCCATTTTCGGCTGACGGAACCTAAAGTTTTTCTGAAGGCGCTTTTGGCGCTAATAAATACTAATTTTGAGGGAAAGTGCGCAAATTTTTAAAATTTTCTAAGCGCCTAAAAATGTTTTTTTTTTCAAAACTTTGCCTGCGGGTCTTTTACTGCTTTGGAAGATCTGGGAAAATCAATTTGCTGGAATTAAACTTTTTTTGGAAAGACCGCTCCCTTCTCGATAAAATCCTTGATCCGCCCCTGGTTGCATTACTTTTTCCATTATGCAAATAGAGAAAAATGAAAAAAATTTCAAGTACACAAAATAAATAGGTTATTTTTTGGTTACTGGTGCCCTGATATTGTGATGTATCCGGTATCTTTTGTGAAACTCACAAAAGATCTTTAAAACACCAAAACAACACCAAAAAAGCTCAAATTTTATAGCTCTAATTGAAATTTCAATTCAATGGTGTAAAAATGCATCTCACAGAAAAAAAAAATGATAAACTTTGCGTACTTTCTGATAATATCCGGATCAAAATTTACACACTTCAGACCTCTGATATTAAGGATACAATATCTGTAAACTTTTGCTGTTTCAATGAGTCAGGCATTAATGTGCTCAATGAATAAAAGTATTTCATAATCACAGGTATTCAAAGGCAAATTATTTGAGTTTTGAAAAATATTTGGTAGCATATTTTTTCTTCCAGTATACTTTATAAGAATCGTCCAAAATTTGTTATTTTAACTCACCAATATTTCGATTGAAGTCTGACAAGTCATTCGCAAATAACCGATTAGAAAATGAACTCACCTCCTTGAACGCTGCAGGGTTCAGTAGAAACAAAACAACGAAATATGGAAGTTAAATTTTCAGTTTGAAGACTACAAATCCATTTTGATACAGTTGATATTATTCAAAAAGCTTTTTAAAGTCACCATCAGACAAGTTTTCAGGCTGGTACTAATTTGTTCACTTGATAAGCTGTCAAAAACTACTCCAATTGGCTGAAAACAATATGACGTAACAAATCGCTGCGGAACAAAAAGTTCAAACTAAACTTCAACTTGACAGCCAAATAAATATTTGTTTCGAAGGTATTTTGGAAAATGAAAATAAAAGAATAGGATAATGATGTTATAGTATATGAGTAGAATAAGTAAACTTGCAAGAGAAATCAAATTAATCACATATACGCTAAATTACAACCGAAATCGAAACCTACCATCAAGAAACGGTAAGAAGTTTCATTGGTTGAAGATTGTCGAAAGAAACCAAACTTACTTTCGTGGTTTTAATTTGCCGAACGGATTGAATTGATAAAATAATTTAAGATCTATCTACAAGAAGTCGATTTTGAAGATAATTTTCGGGTCTGATTTCGACGTTAAACTTTTATAAAAATTGGAGCAATTTAAACAATTTTTAAATCTAAAAGTGTGCGCGGTTTGATTCAATTGTTTTACTCGGTGACCAGCAATCAGAATCGACAAAAAAGAAACTAAAAATTGAACCGGTGTTCATTCAGTCAGCTTAGATTGAGAGATGAAAAGTAAATTGTTTTAAAATCAGAGATGAAGCCGCAAATATTAATAAACATTTATACCAAACATACGAACGAACCTGCTTAACAATATACTGATTGTTATATCTTAGAAACAATCAGTTGATTACTTTTTTGGCAACAAAACAGTGTTTTATTTTTTTTAAAGACAAACAAATTATGGTCTAAAAATATGGCCACTATAAAATATTTAAAATATTATTTATGGATATAATTATAATTGAATTTGATAATTTAGTAGGCGGATGAATTATCAAATGACATCAGATGAAAAAAATACAAATTCAGACCAATGGATTACATAGGGAATGAAAGGAGATATAGGTATTTCAAATATGGTATACTAACTTTTCCAGTAACATTACAAGCTTGTGGTCTTTCTGGGCTGGCTGTATTTTTTGGCGATGCTAGATGAAAAAATTGGGCCCAAAATGATCCTGTCAAGAATAATATAAAACTATAGTTGGGTCTTTCATTCGTTGTTCGACTAGGTGCAAATAAAACGAAACAAGGAAAAAGGGTAGGCAGATACTATTAGTTCAGCAGAATCCCAGTTTCAATAGAGTGGAATCTGAGCTCTTCTTTCTAGCTAGGAGTTGGTTGCTAGGCAGTGGTTGGTGTGCTGTGTTATTTGCTGATTGTCGACCAAATACAGCGAATCGAATACTAGTTCACTTCAGTCGCGGCTCATTGTGAATTTACAAAATTGGGAGCGGACCGGAGCCCATTTCTTTCCTGGCGGCGGCGGCCCGCGACGCGATAGCATAGCAGTAAGGTGAAATGAATATAGTGCTTCGCTTGTGAGGAGCAAGAAATTTTGGGGCTAGCAAAGGTATAAAATCGCTTAAAACGCAAAAAGTCTTTGCTCAAATCCAATTCATTCCAATCCCAATTTTCATTTCATTTCAGTTTGTCTTTTTCTTCAGTTGAGAATAAAGGAGGAAAACAACCACCAGCTACTGCTGACTGTACAGCTCTACTGAATGCTATGCTAGCTAGCGCAACTACAATTCTTCCCATTTCTCTCAATTCACTTATTTTATTTTCCATTCCGATATTCCACCGGTCCCCTTCTCAATACTATTATATTTTCCCACATAAATCCTCATTCCCAGCTTCCATAAACACCGTTCTATTCTTGCCTCTAATGACTTAACATAGGCCATCATTTGATTGGTCGACGAGTGCAATTTGGGACACGAGTTAAGTCGTATCTTAGGAATGATAATAAAAAGTATAATCTGGCAGTCGTTTTTTGTCTTAATTTGCCTGCTGTTGACAACACTACTGTGTAAAGCTGTAGTGCACAACAGTTGAGAAGCTCGAATTCGGAGCAAATGAAATTGAGGCAACAAAGTGCTATAAAATGGGGAACAAAAGATAGAAAAAAGACTGAAATAGTTTTTTAAAATGTGGATTGTAAACAACCAAATAAATAAACAAACAGAGCAGCAAGGTTGTCATGTCAGTTCACGCTCCTAATCTTTTTGGCAAAAAAAAATGTTTTATAAATTATAACTTTTTCAAGCCAATCATGGTGAAAAAGAAGACCAATAAAAAGACCAATCAGCACTTTGAATTTCAACTGCGACATGGGCAACAAGATGTTTATTTTAGGTGCGTAGCGATAAGCACCTGTGCCTATTAATATGCAATAACTGGTTTAATTAAGAGTTCATTCAAACAAAACTCAATTTAGCCCAAATGAGCAAAAAGAAAAAAAAATCAGAAATTCTAACGATTTGTGAACTATTTTCATTCGAATAGTTTTGTTATTTTTTTTTCCAATTTTTCCAACGTTTTGCCAACAAAGCTAAAAGAATTTTTAGCCACATTTTAGTTCCTTTTGGAGCCTTCAACAGCAACCATATTTAAAGCATTGGTCAATAACTTTTGATAAATCACTTGATTAGGTGTTTCTTTAAATTCAACGCAATTTGGACCAAGCTACTACTCAGCCAATAAGAATCAAAAAAATTATACGCAGCAGTAGGCAAATTTATTCTGAGCAAAACAATCGGCGGAGGATATTACCTAGGACCATTTGGGCGGGAGGGTGTTGATTTGAACTAATTATTTAGCCAAAATTATTATGATTTAGAAATCACTAATTGTAAAAAAAAAGGTCTATTTCGCCATATTAAATATTCGACGAAGTGCGCTTAGTTGGAATTTGCAAATTTGAGTCATTCAATCTTGAACTATCGAATAAGTCAATTGTAGTCTTTCACATGGTCATGCTAACTGACACAATTACTAATATGCCGGTCCGCAGGATTTTTACCACTTGAGGTAGAGAAAATTGTTTTAAACAGAAAAGTAGCGGTAACTTTTGCATTTTTCTCTCACAAAACTATTCCGAAATACATTTTCCTCTGTATTACATAATCTTAATTTGACTTTTGTAAAGAAGACTACTCATCAAACAACAACTTTTTCAATGACAACTCCGATTGTTTTTCGGAAACCAACACGTCTCAATAATTGAGATTTTTATGAATTTCAAAACAATCCTTTTGGAAACAGTCCAGCAAAACCATTCCATGATAAAAAACGATACAAAAACGATAGTTTATAAAAAAAATAGCCCGATAAAAAACGAACTCATTTGAGCTAGATGGATTCTGATTGGGCCGGAAATCAAACAAGGCTATTTGTATCAGGGCAAAGCTCTGATTTTGACAGGAAAAAACTCCAGGAAAAAATGACCACCTTCAAACCTACTCAAAATTCGGCCCTGTTAGAAATCGGCTAAAAATAATTGGAAAAAATGTGAAAATTTGGATTAAACTGTTTTTCGTCTGAATGCACACTCAATTAAAACAATTATCGCATGCTAATAGGCACACATGCTAATCGCTACACCCCAATTCTTAAGGTAGTTGTTTTGATCATGAAACAAATATTTCTCAAACTTTCACGCATTATTGAAATTATCTAAACCTTGAGCTTAAAAATCAAATCGAACTATATATACAATCTAAGTGCCAATTTGGACTTTCTGAACTTCGCAGTGCTCCACTTCTATTATTTCATTGTGTCCAATTTTCACCTTTTTCGTGTAGTTGAAAAAAGATTCCATATCAAAATCAATCCAAAATGAATAAACACAAGCTTTAATTGTACGGACTGATGCGTTAATGAATCAATTTAAATCAGATAATAATTAAACGCTCAACAATTTTTGTTAAACTTGATCAAACAAAAAATTTGATAAAACAAATTTGCTGAAATCTACCTTTTTGAAAACTTAGGATTGTGCGTAAAAGTGTTCCACAGAGCTCAACTTGAGCTTTAACTTCGATCAGTTTATACGATCACGGTGCACCAAAGTCGTGCCAACAAACTGACTTACAATCGTACGCAAACAATGTTCACCATTTTCTTTAGTCAAGTAACATTTCCAAAACCTCCTCCATTTAATCAAACTACTTAACTAAGTTAAACCAAATTTCTACGACGATGTCTTTTAGGTTTTTGTTATTCAAAAGCACTCTCAGCCTTTTCTTATAAAAATAGCTTTAAACTGACGCCTACATTGAATTGATCAACTCGCTCCATCCTCCGGAGAAGCACCCAAAAATATTTGGTTTCTCTTCTAATCCATCACTTATCTTCCGAGAAAACTCTAGGCTAACAATCGGCAAAAACTGTGCACATGCTATCAACCCTGAGGAATTTATCTGGCATCAGATGAGGTCATTCTAAAGATGCATTAATGAATACCTACGAATCCTTTGTCATACCAATCATATTTATGCATTTCGTACATGGTCCTATGTCACTAGTAACACGCCTTTAATCAAACCTAATGTTGTTCAAAACACCCCTCTGCGCTCTCTAAAGTGATGAACAAAAAAGAACGCTCGGGAACATTTAAATTCTGAAAAAACTGAACGTCTCCACTACTGCCATTAAACTTTTTCCCAATTTACGCTTAAAACCAAAATACCTTCCAACACCCTATTTTTCTATGTCAAACATGTACCCGAAATAGAAAAGTTTCCTCTGCAAAACAACTTTTGCATCTTCCTCACTTTTATTAGTTCCTACTAGATTAATAACTTTTTTTATAAAACAGGTATTTTTCTTCTAAGTGTCATTTTTTGTTGCGATGAGAGAAATTGATAGAAGCTGAAAACATTTGTAACTTAGGCATAATCGAAAACAGTTGTCTTAAAAAAACAGAATAACAAAACACAAACAATTCAGGAAAACGTTTTTGGAAATTTGACGTTAGGCTTGCGAAATTTTTTTACCACTAGTTAAAGAAATTTTTGAATTCTTGGGACCTTTTCGCTGGCTTTAGTAGCTCGAAATTAGACTAACTCTCAAAAATTTCATACAGGTGTTGCTCGAAAAAAAACTTTTCGCGGCTCATTCAAAATTTTTTTTTAATGTCGTTCCAATTACAACAGAATGGGTTTCACTCAAACTTAAATAGAACTCGCCCGAAGACAAAGTTCCTCTCCATTTTCAATGGGGAACAACAACACTTATTGGTATTAGCTTTAAAAATGTTAATACTGTCAGCTATTTATTTTAGAAAAATACACGAATCCTGCTTGGAACAAAAAACCAATTTTTTCCAAAAATAGGAAAAAACTTTTAAAAAATCCATTTTTTTGTTCTTGGTTCAATCTATGTTAAATTTTTGTTAAAATTGACTGAATTAGAAGAAAAACTGCACAAACAAAAAATGAACAAAAAATGAAGAAACGTTGAAACTAAATTAGAAGTTTATTTACTACTTTTATCCATCGATAAACTCGCTCGAAACTTGACTAAAAGACAAAAAACTCAAACCAGCGGTTTCTCTTGACATTAAATTTTTTTCAAACATTATTGATGTATTTCGACTCACAACTGAAAGAGCTTTAAAATGATAAGCCGCTCGACTCATTCTGATGATTATAAGCGCAACCTGATTTCGCTTGAAAAACAAAAAGCCTACTCGCTCACTCTATTCGCTCGAGTTAGACCAAAAATTTCGAACCACTGAAAAAATTTAAAATAAAAATGTTCTAA